GTCACGCACGCAGTACGTGTTTACTATAATTTGACGTAGTATTTACCTTGCCGTTTATTCGGTGTTATTTACTAGACATACATTTTGTTTTAATGAATCAGTTCACCAGTCGTTATTATATTTACCTTTTCCCCCCTTTGTTCCTTTGTTTCGCTCACCTTTTTCTAAAAGACAAAAATTGTCATTATTTACTAGTTGATATTTATAATACTAGATATTGCAACAAATAAATTATGCAGATGGAATGACTTGACAATTATGCACCCATTTGTAAGCCAGTTGGTAGTCCTATTGGTATGCCCATTGGTAGACCAATCTGTTCGCCCGTTGGTAACTCCATATGTTAAACCCTATTACATTAATGTAATATGTACTTTACCCCTTTTCCTGTCTTTTCTTTCTTTACTACCGCTTCCTTTTTCATCTGTAATTGAATACTTTATCAAATCAATGATACTGTAGTAAAATTATTTCCCGATTTGTAGTCCTTATGTGATTGGCAACTCATTTGTAATTACATTGGTATGCCCATTCGAAAAATTATTGGTAAGCCCATTTGTAAGCCCATTTTGGCTCATACATACTCCCATTCGTAAACCCATTTGTAAGGTCATTTGTAAGTCCATTTGTAAATCCGATTACGTTAACATAATATGTGCTTTACCTTTGTCTCTGTCTTTTCTTTCTTTACTACCACTTTCTTTTTCATCTGTAATTGAATAATTTAACAAATCAATCATACAGTGGTTGAATTGTTTCCCGATTTGTAGTACTCTTGTTAGCCCATTAGCAAGCTCATTTGTAATTACATTAGTATGCCCATTTAAGGTATAAATGCAGGTTCGTGGGCACACAGGAGTGAATTTTCTTTTTTTGCTTGTTATTGTCCAAACAGTCTTGGCTATAGACTGTTAAAATTTCACAGCATTATGAATAGTGGAACATACTCAAAAGACGATTTTAAAATATAGATAACAGGTGCAAACATTCTCTCTTTTGAATGCTTAGCAAGATTTAGCACAAATTATCAAAAAGAAACATGGTGAAAAAAAAGTGACGGGATCTCCATATTATGCACTATATTTAACTTTGTACAAAACGATAATAGGTTTAAATTTGGAACTGTTACAGCCATTTTAATTATGAGCATTAGCAAACTTCTTACTGAGTGAATGGTTATGCATTAGCCATTATCTCCACTTGTGTTTTTCAGTTTACCATGGAAGTTCAAATTTAAATAGCTCGCACAATTCTTGTTTATTTTGAGTGAAACTTTCACACAACGTTTGTCAGTTGTTTATTAACAAAGGGGCTTCCGGGTGTATATATAGTACGTTTTGTTTTCATATTACAAAGTTGTCAAGCAGGATGTGTGCCGTATATTCAATGCCGGTCAGTATTTCACACTTCGAATGTCATTGTCCGAGAATGCGAAGCCTTAAAAATAAGCCCAGACGTCCCTCTATTCGTGAAGTTGTCAAAATAGTGTGAAAATGTCAAGACAAACTGACAAAAACTGAGGGAGCTAATTAATTGTCAATCTCCTTGACCAACCAGAAAACGCGAACGGAGATAATGGCCGTTTTATGAAAGTGACGTTAATCGTCCAAAAAAAAAGGCTATTGCATCACGACGACATGCCAACATCCATTATACACCGACGCTTGCTGATGCTCAATCGTCAGATAAAAAATAACATAAAAATATTTACAATACGAGAGAAACGGACGTAAAATCGTCCGCGGAGTCAAAACCTTGCGTGAAAACTGTCATGGCACCGTGTTATCTTTCCACTTAGGGAGGGGCACAATGGATTACGTAAAGTTGATGAGATATTCATACAGTTATATAAACATAGCGATCGCCATTAGATGGGTTGAGTCTAAATTTAACTTACCTCAAACCTTTAAAAAAATACTCTGTATGACGCCGTTTTTCACGATCTCCGGTGAAATGGACCGTGTGAAGTTAGACGGCCGGGTTGAAATGGGCCGTAATATTTTGCTACACAACGACTATTCACAGTGTTTGTACTCAATCGCTCCAACGCCGGTGAGTAAAACTCGAAATCTAAGACAACTATTGTAAATCGAAACAATTTTCATTCAACTACGAGCAGACGAGATGGGTTGATAAAAATTAAAACGAACCCTGACCTCTGGAAATACCTCATTCATAGAGTACAATAGTACCAGAGGTCGCCGAGCACGGCGTTACAACGAACTTTGCGACATCGCTACAAATGCATGCTAGCTACACAAGGGGGTTTCCGATTAAGGTAACCAAAATGGCATCGCAGAGTGCGTGATTTTTCCGCGGTGTTTAAAAACAGCATCTCGTTGCCGATGTTTCTGTAATTTTTGGGATATTTTTTATTTTTAATTAACCGAGCATTTCGCGTTTGTGTATTTTGACACTGAAAGATTAGTTATCGATGACAGCACATCAATGGTCTGAATGGTGTTTATCCACTACTACATCGCAATGCTATCAGCACGGTGATCGTTACAGCGAAACAACAAATGTATAATTAGTCAGTTTTACAATGCCCTCGGAGAAAAAAACGCAGAAAAATAAAAATATTTAACAGTACGCCACTGGAAGCTGCTAGGCTAGAAGTTGTCGACATGTTGCGAGATAAGAATGAAAAGGTTTACTTATCATTTACAAGTGTATGTTTTTTGTATTCCGCTTGCATGCTGGAAGCGTCTACGTCTTGTCTGTTTTTTGTAGTTTGCGAGACTAGTTGATAGCGCTTGAGGTAAGTTATACACGGTCACGGACAAGAAGTTAACTGAGGCAGGAAATCATCTGTATATAATATCAACAGTCACTTGTCAAACAAAGAGCAACGTAAACAAACTTTCGGGACTTTTAATCATATACGCGTTCCAGCATTGACAATGCTCCGAAATTTTAACACTATCTAGCCAAGACAAAACAAAACAAAATTCACTCCGAGTGCCCACGAACCTGCATCTATACCTTAGAAGCCTATTGGTAAGCCCATTAGTAAGCCTATTTTTGGATCATACATTCTCCCATTGGCGAACCCATTTGTAAGGCCATTGGTAAGTCAATTTGTTAATCGAATTACGTTAATGTAATATGTGCTTTACCTTTGTCCCTGTCTTTTCTTTCTTTACTACCACTTTCTTTTTCATCTGTAATTAAATAATTTATCAAATCATGCATACTGTGGCGAAACTTATTTTTCCACTTATGGCAAATTTGTAAGCCAATTTGTAAGTCCATTTATGAGCCCATTTGTAAGTCCGCCGGTAGGTCCATTTGTATGACCATTGGCTAGTTGTTGGTGAGCCTATTGGTAGACCAATCTGTAAGCCCATTGGTAAACCTATTTCAGGCTCATAAATACGCCTATTGGTACATTTGTAAACCCAATACATTAATGTGATATGTGCTTTACCTTTGTCCCTGTCTTTTCTTTCTTTACTACCACTTTCTTTTTCATCTGTAATTGAATAATTTATCAAATCAATCATACAGTGGTTGAATTGGTTCACCATTTGAGTGCTCTTGTGAGCCAATTGGCAAGCTCATTTGTAATTACATTAGTATGCCCATTTAAAAGCCTATTGGTAAGCTTATTTGTAAGCCCATTTTTGGCTCATACATACTCCCATTAGTAAACCCATTTGTAAGGCCATTGGTAAGTCATTTTGTAAATCCGATTACGTTAACATGATATGTGCTGTACCTTTGTTTCTGTCTTTTCTTTCTTTACTACCACTTTCTTTTTTATCTGTAATTAAATATTTATCAAATCATGCATACTGTGGTGAAACTTATTGACCATTTATGGCAAATTTGTAAACCAATTTGTAAATCCATTTATGAGCCTATTAGTAAGCCCGCCGGTAGGTCCACTGGTATGCTCATTGGCTAGTTGTTGGTAAGCCCATTGGTAGGCCAATCTGTAAGCCCATTGGTAAACCCATGTTAGGCTCATATATACGCCCATTGGTACATTATTAAACCCAATACATTAATGTGATATGTGCTTTACCTTTGTCCCTGTTTTTTCTTTCTTTACTACCACTTTCTTTACTACTACTACCGCTTCCCTTTTCATCTGTAATTAAATACTTTATCAAATCAATCATACCGTGGTTCCCATATTTCCTCCTACTGCTAAGCATATTGGTGAGCTCATTTGAGACCCCATTGATAAACACATTGGTGAGACCATTTGTAAACAAATTCGTAACCAAATTGCTGAGCATATTGGTGAGCCCATTTGTAGCCACATTGGTAAGTCCATTGGTAAGAGCATTGTAAGCACATTTATAAAGCTATTGGCAAGGCCATTGTAAACCCATTTGTAAACCCAGTTACATTAATGCTTTACTTTTGTCTTTGTCCTTTCTTTCATTACTACCGCTTTCTTTTTCATCTGCAATTGAATACTTTAACAAATGAAGCAAACTGTGGTGGAATTTCTTTCCCATATGTGCCCATTTATAAGCCTGTTAGTAGGCCCATCGGCTAGCTATTGGTAAGCCCATTTTAGGCTCTTGTATACGCCCATTTGTAATAAAATTTTGTAAACCCAATAACATTAATATACTATATGGTTTACCTTTTTTTCTACCTTTTCGTTTTTCTTTACTGCCTTCACTTTCATCTGCAAATAAATACTTTGTCAAATCAATCATACTGTGGTGAAAATTATTTCCTAATTTGTGACCCACTTTTAAGCCCACTTGTAAGCCCAATTGCAATCACATTGGTAAGCCCAGTTTAGGCTCATATATACTCCAATGTTAGCCCATTGGTAAGCCAATTTGTAAGCTCATTCGTATAAACATTGGTAAGCCCATTTCGCGGTAAGTAGATGCTGTAATTTGTGAATCGTTATCGCGAAGAAAAAATTGAACAAACTACAATTATTCATCAAAAATGAATAAAAGTAAAATATAAATATAATATTATTTGAGATTTTTTAAAAATGATTTTTCCCGTTTGTTTTTCACTCGCTACAAATAACTGTAATTGTTCATATGAATACGACGAATAACGCTTATGGCGATTGGGCTATGACGTAAGCAAGTTGTGACGAAACATGATGTAACTACTCGCAGTAGCTTGATTTCAGTTTGAACGTCTTTTCTCAGAAAAGCCTACACCATTCCCCGACTGGAATACATGTGACTGTATTGTCAATGAGGTGCGTATACAAGTTAAGTCTTACCACTACTTTCAACGTCCTCGTCTACGTCATCAGATGAACTTTTGTCTTTGTTTTTCTTTCTCCCACCTTTCCCCCGCTTCTGTCGACTGAGCTGCTTGCCGAAATAGAGAAGGGGACAGTGTGAAAATCTCATGAAAATACACAGCACATTATACTAGACGCCAGCTCACATTTGATGTGCTTGTCACTAAAACAAACTACTGCGAAACATTATACTGTTAATAACGCATGCGCGATAACGGATTATCATAAACTGTGACCCGGTAGTTATTACTGTTGTGAATAAATAATATTTCGGATGCAAGTAACCATTAAACTAAAGTTTGAAACAAAGAACATTTCGCCGAAAACATGCAGGAGTTTTGAACTTGAAGCAAATTCCGTTATTTAGTTGTGAGAATTAAGGAACATGTTACTTATACATCACGTGATTGCGGATTGCAATGCGCAACGCTTCTCATGAAATATTAAAAATAAATATTGCCTTAAAAAAAGATTGTTTTGATAATCCTTGAGAGTATCAGTTTAGCAGACAGTCGATGAGATCCGATGTGATCAACACTTACCACGAGTTGATCCTCTTCTCCGGCATTTTTCCTCTACGAAAAAAACAAACAAAAACATATCAGTGAGTGATATGTTTAGTCGTTGGGTCGTTCTATAGCCTATTGTAGAATATTGTACACGTCCAAGGCATCTCATCTGAGTAGTAAC